AAGGGTCCAGAAGTGAAAACTTTGACCACCTTGCGCCCCAATGTGGGGCCCAACTTCCCGAGACGACGAGCTTTCCTGAGGGCCGCTGCCGCCCTCTGCTTAACTTTGGCACTCCTGTTCTTTCCAAGGGCTCTGACCGCTCTGCCAGCCGTGTAATCCACACCTAAGTTGGTCACCCGAGTGCAAGCTGGATCGCCGACTAAGCCCCCGAGCCCAGCCGAGAGCGCACCCGAAATGTGCTTGCTGCTGGAGACCATGCCAACCTTATCCATAGCCAGCTTGCACTTGAGCGTCGACGTGATCACAGAGCGCAGAGCTCTAGCACCTGAAACCTAATGCTTCAAAACGAAACTGGGCTTGCCAGTCGCGCTGAGGCTCAAATCATCTACGTAAACATCAAAATCGGGCCCCCTCGGGATGGGGTCGAAAGCCTCCAGGGCGAACGCCCGAATAAGGCTCGTCGCGAAGGTACAGCCCGCGACGATCCCTCTCAGGGCAAAAAAACGGGCCGTCGACAATTCCCCCCAAAGTCATGAACCTCGCGCAGGAGTAGGCGTGAATCGCGAGGCGCGCGATGCCCAAGGGGAACTGATGCTCCTTACACTTGGCCCAGAGAAAGCCGAGGTCGATATGTTCGTAGTACTTACGCAAGTCCCAAAAGATCGAGGCACTGGCCTGACCTCTGACCGTCCCCGACTCCGCTCTGAAAGCCTGCCTCCAGACCACGTCCCCCGCCCCACGGTGGGCCCCCGCCGCCCAGTAAGGGCGGCTGTGCTGGATTCCCCAACGAAGAGTTTCAAAGCGGCGGCACCTGCCCCAGACTCGGTACCAGCTCGGAAAAATCCCAATGGGTCGGAAGCCCCCACAAGGCTTGGCCAACAAAGCGACCAGCACCCAAGAGAGCTGGACAGGCAGGGACCCCGTGGCCTCCATGACCGAGAACCACAGAGACAGGGCCATCAGAGCCTCGTCAGGGAGCAGGCTGAAATGGCGGCAGTGGAAGCCGTCCAAGCTGACAGCAGAGGCAGGCAGATATTTCTTGGACATGGCCCTGCTGATATCGGGCTCGAGAGGGGGGGGGGGGGGGGGGGGGGGGTGGGGGGGGGGGGGGGGGGGTGGGGGGGGGGGGGGGGGGCATGCCAACATCTCCTTACCGCAAAGGCCCTGGCCAACACCGCCCCCCCAAATAGAAACAAACTTGGCCGATTCAGCCTTGGGCAAGCTCATGGGATCTGACGCCGCGATGCCCGAGCGAGAGAGAGGAGTGGTGGGGGCCCAGGCCACAGGGTCCCGAATAGCCCTCTGCGCGTTACGCGACCCTTTCTCGAGCCCCTGACGGACCCATTCGTTCCATGCCTTCCGAGAAGACTTGGCCGCGGATGCCTTAGCAGTGACACAAGCTTCAGAAACTTCGCAGATGTGCCGATCGAGGTCGGCGGCCACCTCGGGATCATCCACCGAGCTCAGCAGACTACGCGCTAAGCCAGCGGCAGTGCGAAAAAGAAGCGCATAGGCTGAATTCTCTGCCACCGCGACCGTCGTCGGCGGCTCCGCGAGCGCCGCCAGCACCTGACGACCTCCATCTAGAAGGCCCTCAGGGCTCAAGTAGCACCTGGAAGCACGGAGTTGGCTGCTCAGCCAAAGCACCGACCTGAGGGTAGGATCAGGCTCACGGCCCCCTTCTTTCAAGATGCTTGTCCAATGCATCTGCGGCCGCTTAGCCCTGGCTCCCTTGGGAACCTTCACCCCCATGATGGCGCTGAGGTCACGCTCGGCCGAGTTGGCCCACGCACGGTGCCCGGGGGCCAGCAAAGCGCGAACACGATCACCTTCGCCTTCTTGCACCGCCCGAAAAGCCTCGCGCGCCGGCCCTAGGGGGACCTCCCACGACCCAGGCTCAGGCTGCGGGCCAACCGGTGGCACCACAGGAAGGTCATGCGGGCGTCGGAATGCGAGAGCCTTGAGATCGCCAACAGACGCGTGGAAACGCAGAGACACAAGCCTATGAGGGGGGATGGGCGAGTCCCCTTGCACATCGATCTGCTTGAGACCGAGGGAGAGGGCATGCGACACAACGAAAAAATCAAAGCGGTCGGGGGGGCCGACACTAGGGACGGCGGCATGCCCTTGGGAACTGACAATCACCCCATTGGTCTTAGCATGGACGCCTGACGCAGCCAAGGTCTCGGGGGGGAAATTCCAATCAGCCCCGATGATGAACTCGCACTCTAAACCCCCGATAAATTCCCCCACTGATTTTAAGATGGACAAGCTGGCCTCTGACAGACCTTCGCTGTGGCGGAGGTAGGAGGGAGAGGACGCAGAAGGTGGCGCGCCCTGGCACGCGCACCATGGCACCTATCGCGCGGCCCTCGGCCAGCACGATCTTGTCCTGGCGCTCGAACATGCCGAGCGCGTCGCGCACGAAGACGCCGACCGCAGAGGAGGTGCCCCCGCCCTCGCCAACAATACCTGGAGCCCAGAGCGACTTCCATTCCAAAAACTTAGCCCCTTTCGAGGCCGTTGCGATATCGTCGTCACCTCGTAGGCGATGATCCTGCGCGATAACGATATGCGATGGACTGCTCGTTAGGTAGCTTTTCAAGGTGCCCCAGCTGTTGGCGTTCACGGTGGACACCAGCAGGCCTTCGTCGAGCCCGCAACTCTGTGGTCTGGCTGGACCAGACGCCGCTGGAGGCGCAGGGGCGGGTGGTGACCAGTCCATAGCCCCTCCCCGACTGGAGGCCCTGACCGTACTTGCTCCAGCAAAAAGATCGGATTGCGGCAAGCGTGCGACCGCAGCCGCGGCTGCGGGACCATCGCTCAACGTCTGATCTGCCAGACCAGGGAGAGGGGGAGGACGAGGATCAGGGATTTCACGGTCACCTGGGGGCACAGGATGAGGGTCCCAAGGAAAAATCAGAGCAGGAAAAAACTCGGAGACGCCCTGAGACATCGAGTGAAGCTTGCGCGCCAAACGCAAGCCTGACTTCTGTGCTGAAGAGCCAACAGAGGAGACTCGATCTGCCAAAAAGTTGAAAAAGGGGACAAGTCACCCGAGCCCGGAGTGGGGGGGAAACACCTGACAAATGCTGGTCAACCCGAGCTCGGATGTCAGTGGCTGCGGCAGCAGCGGCAGGCCTCGCAGCAGGCTGAGACGCGGCGCCTGGCTCAGAAGGCGCAGCAGCTTCGCCTCCACCTGCTGCGGCACCGCGACCTGCATCGTCAGCGTCCTGAGCAGGAAGCCCCTCGCCATCGTCACCTTTACGTCGCTTGCGCTGAAGCCGTGATTTGTGAGCCAGATGGGCTGCCTTGACCTCCGCAGCCGTAGAGGTGAGCTGCTCGAGCAATGACTTGGACAGGTCCTGCACGCCTGCCTGCGACTTCTCCAGCCGAGTCTGATGCCCCTTGCGATCTCCATCGGTGGCATCGTACTCGCTGCTCTCGAACTCCTCCATGATGTCAAACTTGATAATGCTCGTGAGATCGAACTTGCCCTCCATGATGTCCCGCAGCGGGATGGCTGGGGTGCTGCACGGTGCCGAAGCCTCTCCAGCGCCTGTCGCACCTGCGCCACTGCTGTCACGAAGCCGTTCCACAGCCGCTTTGTACTCCTCATCAGCCTTGCCGAGCTGGTCCCGCGACTGGCGCACCTGCTCCTCCAGCACTGCAGTCTCCTGCTCCCGCTTGAGCAAACGAGTGAGCTGGCCCTCGAGCTGCTTCTCCAGGCGACGGGCTGCGGCATGCTGCTGTTGAACCTGCTGGTGTACATTGATCTCCGCGGGCTTGCTGGCGGCCTCCAGGCTGGCCGCCACGTCGGTATAGTACTTACCCCTCGTAGCATCCCCCGCCTTGTACGACAGGGAGGCCATCTGCTTAGCTTCTTCGACGGACAGAGCAGGAACAGGTCCAGCGGGGAGCGGCGGGGCACCCCCTCCCATCCCTGCGGGCTGCAGCTGACCTCCTGGGGTTGAACCATGCCACTCGAACCGAGATGTATCATTGAAGCCCTTGCCTTTGCTTTTGCCGAAGCCTTTACCTCCAAGCCCTCCTTTATTCCCCGAGGCAGCGCCAAACCACCCAGGCGGTCTCGACCAGTAGGACTGAGCAAGAGGGCCAGAGCGATCAGGAGCAACTGGAACCTGAGGAAGTGGGCCATGACAGTTTTTGCACCACTTTGCCGAGGGAGCGTTCTTGCGACAGCCACACCCTGGGCACTTGATGGGCGACTTGTTATTGTTGTACCACTTGCCACCGCCTTTGACCTGCCACTCCCCTTCCCCGCCGTCACCCTCAGATGCTTGCACCCACGGGTTATAAATGAAGCGAGAAGAAGAAGGAGCCATCGAGGATGTGGGCAGTAAAAGTGGCACTTCGAACGCCAGGGAAAACTGTCGGGGGCCGCGCGATCCCCCCTGCCAGATCTCAAATCCTTGAGCAACCGCTACGGACTTGAGCCAAAATGCCTACGGACGCCTCCTCCTCCTCCTCCCCCTCGTCCTCCTCCTCCTCCTCGTCCTCCTCGTCCTCCTCCTCCTCCTCCTCCATCTCCTCCTCCTCCTCCTCCTCCTCCTCCACCTCCTCCTCCTCCTCCTCCTCCTCCTTCTCCATTGCCGTCACCCACCGAGGCCGTGACCTCGCCGCCGTCGCCGCCGCCGCCGTCGTGACTGGTCGGAGTCTTCGGAGCCGTCGTGGCTGTCGTCGCGGCCTGCCCTGCCCACGTGGACCGGTCGTCCTCGTGCTCATCCTCGTCCTCGTCCTCGTCCTCGTCCTTCTTGGTCCTCGTCCTCGTCCGTGCGAGCGCGGCAGTTCCACGGGATCGCGTCGAGCGGAGGAAGTGGAAAAAGGCGGAGGATGTCAGGAGGAGAGAGAGAGAGAGAGAGGGTGTGAGGGCGGTGAGGGAAGGAGAAAGGGCCTCAGGAAGGGGGAACGAGGAGGAGAAGGAAGATGGAGCAAGGGTCGACGCACGAGGAGAGAGGAGAGAACGAGGGCGACTGCGGGGAGGAGAGAACAGGAGGAGAAGCATCACGCCTGCTTCTGCGAAACCAGCCAGCCTGAGCTATACATTCAGGAGGCCGCGCAGATCTCCTCGCAGGTGGCACCGTTAGGGCCTACCTGGACGATCCGAGCGCGGCCACTCGGAAACAAAAAAAAAACTGCGCATCAAAAGAGCCTCTCACGACCGATGCTCGCCCCGCTGTGGGAAGGGGCTCTGCAGCAACACATGGTCCGTCGTGCTCTCCGGCCCGCGCGCGTACCCCCCGCCAACACTGAAGAGATACAAGAGTACAGTCGGGGCGTGAACCTAAGGAACTCTAAGTAAGGAACGGGCCCCCTCTTTTCCATAAGTTAAGCTTCGATTTCCCACACAAAGACCTAAGGGGAACCCGAGGCAAACTGTAAAACAATCAAGGGACACCGAGCCCCTCCCCAACGAAAAGCGTTCCTTCTTCAGGGCCCCGACTGTATCAAAGAGAGGGAGATGAAGGAGGAGATCAACACTCTCTGGTTGTTCCTCTCCCTGGGAGCAGAAAGAAGGAACGAGAGAGGGCTCGGGGGGGAGAAGGGGCCGATCCTCCTGCCCCTTCCCCTTCGGGAGAGGGAGCAAGCGAGCCGAAAGAAGAGGGGGAGGCTGATGGGGATGAGCCCCTTCCCGATGTGGTACGTAGCGGAGCACTGCTGAGCCTCGCTCTCGCTCGCTCTCGCTCTCTCGCTCTCTTTCTCTCTCTCTTTCTCTCTCTCGCTCACTTTTATTACTTCTCTCTGGCTCTCTCTCTCTCTCTCTCTCTCTCTCTCTCTTCACTTCTCTCTCTCTCTCTCTTTCTGTCTGTCTGTCTGTCTCTCTCTCTCTCTCTCTCTCTCTCTCTCTATATATATATATATATGTATGTTTGTATCCCTCTCGGATCCTCTTGCTCTCACTCGCGCGGCACATAATTAACGAAACCCATATGTTCGCCAGCGTGCCTGCACAGAGCGAGCGTGCTAGCCTGTTCCTCGCACGCGCCCTTCGAAACTCAGCGTTCCGGATTTGATCTTGAGCGCTCTGGTCGGTCTCAGGACGGCGACGACGGCCTCCAAGATGGCTTCCAAAACAGCCAAGATGACACAAAGACGGCCCAAGGTGACCCGAGACCACTGCAAGGGGCCCCCAAGACGGCCTCCAGGGCGACACGAGAAGGCTCCAAGAGGAGAGCCCGAGGAGGCAACCACTGGCCATCGCTCGGACGTCCATTCCCTGTGTTTTTTTTTTTGCGGTTTCGTGTTTTTTTTTTTTTTTTTTTTTTTTTTTTTTTTTTTTTTTCGCAGGATGATTGGATGCTCCTTCATCCCCGCCGAGAAAAAGTGCACACGGTCCGAGCGATACCAAGACCACCATTGATTCTCATGTGGCGTTCTCCGCCGAATCCCCCGCTCGCCGGGGGGAAAAGGCGCGTGAGACATTGCGGCTGTCCTCTGGAGGATGGGGGAGGGGGGGGGGACCGGCTCGAGGGGGGAATAGGGGACAGGCTCGGCAGCGACAGGCCCTCTTTCTCCCTCCTCCTCCTCCTCCTCCTCTTCCTCCTTCTCCCCTTCCCTTCTCCTCCTCCGCCGACTCAGACTCAGACTCAGACTCAGACTCAGACTCCTCCTCCTCCTCCTCCTCCTGTTCCTGCTCCTGCTCCTGCTCCTGCTCCTGCTCCTGCTCCTGTTCCTGCTCCTGCTCCTGCTCCTGCTCCTGCTCCTCCTCCTCCTCCTCCTCCTCCTCCTCCTCCTCCTCCGTCTCCTGCTCCTGCTCCTGTTCCTGCTCCTGCTCCTGCTCCTGCTCCTCCTCCTCCTCCTCCTCCTCCTCGTCCTCCTCCTCCTCCTCCGTCTCCTGCTCCTGCTCCTGCTCCTGCTCCTGCTCCTGCTCCTGCTCCTCCTCCTCTTCGTCCTCCTCGCCTGGAGTTCAAACTCCTGTTTGAGGGGTCGGGGTGTGGGGGGGGGGGGCCGACGAGCTCCCAAACGCACCCTGGGGCCTCCAGGGCCTCCGAAGGGCCCCAAAGACGGCCCAGGGGAGCCCACGCAGGGCGCCAAGACCGATCGCCCCGAGGGAATGCCCCACGACGACCCGCCATGGCTTCGACACGGCCCACGGGGCGCCCAAGACGACCAGCGAGTGCCCCCAGAGGGCCACCGGGAGGGCCTCCCCAGGGGAGACAAATCGTCCCATTCCCAGCGGAGCGCGTACAATTTCAGCAAACTCGCCTTCGCAGTCCTGACACCGTCAAGGCCCAACGGGTTGTCAGAAAGCCCTGGAGGCTTCGAGAAGGCCCACAGGGCCCCCCCAGATGCCCCCAAGAGCCCTCCAAGAGGCCCCTGAGAGGCATCCCACGAGCCCCTCATCCAAGAAGCTCCTGACCCACCAGATAACTTCCAAGATCGTCGCAAGCACTCGCTCCCTCTGGGGTCGGCAGGGTGGCGCAAGCCACTTGAATTATGCGTTGAGGCTCTCGCCTGTTTAGGTCTGCGACCGCCCAAGATGGCCCAAGAGGCCTCCAAAAAAGGCACCCATGATCCCACGCGAGGCTCTGAAGACCGCCAAGGGGCCCCCAAGCCGTCCCAAAAGGCTTCCAGAAAGCCCACAAGGCGCCCCACGAGGCCCCCAAGAGCAGCCAGGAGGCCCTCAAGACGCCCCGAGAGGCCCTCAAGAGACCCCGGGAGGCATCCCATGAGACTGAGAGGGGCACGCAAAAAACATCTGGACCAGGGAGGCCGCCCGAGCTCTCCACATGATGCCACGCTCCCCAGATCAGGGCAGACCCCTGGGCATCGTTCGTGGATTGGCTGGCGGGGATACGCTGGTAAAGCAAGTTCCTTCCTGCTACGCTGCTGCAAAGGCGCGGTGGCGGTGCGTCTGCCACCCGTAGCTGGGTACATATATATATACACACATATATATACACACACATATTTATGTACATATAGACATGTGTATATACACGTACATAAACATATCTACGTGTATATATAAATAAATGGTCGATCCCCCCCCCAACGACCCCCCAGAGCGCCCAAAGCACGAATACACAACTCAACTTTGGCCTGCCATCCAGGCTGACGAACTCATCCGCTCGGCCCATCCGTCACGGGCACCGTGCGCGCAAGCATATCGGTTTCGGCCGAGGCCACGAAACACTGTGTATCACAGGTTTTTCTAGTTTTTCTGGTCTGGGAACCAACGAAACACTGCGTATCACAGGTTTTTCTGGTTTTTCTGGCTTCTGGAGCTGAAATGCTCGCCGCGGCCTCGCCCCACCGCTCCCCCACCTCCTGTGTGTCGGCACCTGAAAACCAGAAAAACCAGAAAAACCTGTGATATACAATGTTTCGTTGGTTCCCAGACAAGAAAAACCAGAAAAACCTGTGATACACAGTGTTTCGTGGCCTCCGAGCAAGGCTCTGGTTCTGGTTCTGGTTCTGGCTCTGGTTCTGGCTCTGGTTCTGGTTCTGGTTTTGGCTCTGGTTCTGGTTCTGGTTCTGGCTCTGGTTCTGGCTCTGGTTCTGGTTCTGGTTCTGGCTTTGGTTTTGGTTCTGGTTCTGGCTCCTACCAGTGGTTGTACTGGCACAGGGGCGAGGATTTGTGGCTGGCAACAGGGAAGATGCTGGAGGAGGCCTTCCTCAAGGAGCACTGCCAGTGAGCGGCGAGCGCTGTAGTCCCCGAAGAGTACACAATGTTTTCTTGCTCGGAGGCCACGAAACACTGTGTATCACAGGTTTTTCTGGTTTTTCTGGTCTGGGAACCAACGAAACATTGTATATCACAGGTTTTTCTGGTTTTTCTTGTTTTCAGGTGCCGACAAACAGGAGGTGGGGGAGCGGTGGGGCGAGGCCGCGGCGAGCATTTCAGCTCCAGAAACCAGAAAAATCCGAAAAACCTGTGATACGCAGTGTTTCGTTGGTTCCCAGACCAGGAAAACCAGAAAAACCTGTGATACACAGTGTTTCGTGGCCTCGGCCGAAACCGATATGCTTGCGCGCACGGTGCCCGTGACGGATGGGCCGAGCGGATGAGTTCGTCAGCCTGGATGGCAGGCCAAAGTTGGGTTCTCCAACAGGGAGAGGACCAGGTGGAAGAACAGAAGGTGGAGGACGAGGGAGGAGGGAGGAGGAGGACGAGTAACAGGAGAAGCAGGAGGCGAGGGGGGAGATGGAAGAGGAGGGGGAGGATGAGGGAGAGTAAGATGAGGAGGAATACTTCTCGGGTCACAGCCCGCTGTGACAGACCATGTGTCTGCGGCTGTTCGGTGCCAGCATCTCAAGACCGCGGCTTCGTGTTTTGGGCGTTTTGGGGGGTCGTTGGGGGGGGGACCGAGCAAATAAATGCATACACCCGCCGGTCGGAAAAAGTGGGTAGAAGCATGACGTAGGAAGGCGGTGCAAGTAGATTCGGCGTCCGCCCGCCCCGTGCGGACGAGGAAGACAGAACTGAACTCACTCCGACGGCAGGCCCCTGAAAAAAGACTTTGCCTGCCCCCTGCCCCCCGGCCCGGACGCAAGGGTCTCCCCCTGCGCCCGATGCGGCCGCCGATGGGTTACTACCCGCGGCCCGGAGACAAGGGGCTACTCACCCCCTGCCCCCGAGTCGGCCGAGGACGGGTTCCTACACCCCCTGCCTGGACGCACAGGGGCTACCAATCGCGCCGGAGATTCGGCCACCGATGGGTCACTGCCGGCGGCCCGGAGAAAAGGCGTCACCCCTGCCCCCGAGTCGGCCGAGGACGGGTTGCCACCCCGGGCCCAGACGCGCAGGGGGATACACCTGCGCTGGATATTCGGCCACCGATGGGTCACTGCCGGCGGCCCGGAGAAAAGGCGTCACCCCTGCTTGGGCGCCCGAGTTATCTGGGGTATCTCGGGTCCGGGGCAACTCGGGTTGGATTCCCGAGAAAGGAGCCCGAGTTGGCCCTGACCCGAGTTACCCCTGATGATTCGGGGCTCTGGACGCCCGAGTTATCCGGGGTAACTCGGGTCTGGGGTAACTCGGGTTCGGAATCCCGAAAAACGAACCCGAGTTGGCCCTGACCCGAGGTACCCCTGATGATTCGGGGCTCTGACCTGCCCCCGATGCGGCCGAGGATGGGTTGCCAGCCCAGGCCCGGACGCGAGGGCCTCCCCCTGCGCCGCCCGATTCGGCCGCCGATGGGTTACCAGCGGTTGCCCAGAGACAAGGGGTTACCCCTCCCCCCCGATTCTGCCGAGGATGGGTTACCACACCAAGCCTGGACGCAAGGGGCTACCCCTGCGCCCA